CAGTATGCTTATAGGCTCAGCAATGCTATGCTGGCTAGCACTACAGACAAAAGGGACTTGGTTATGATTGACCACAAGATGAACATGAGCCTTCAATGTGATGCTGCAGCTAGTAAAGAGAACAAAATGCTGGCTAGTAAAGAGAACAAAATGCATAGACGCTTCTCAAGCAAATCCCAGGACATCATTCTCCCATTGTACTCAGCCTTGGTGAGGCCGCAGCTGTAGTACTGCATCCAGTTTTGGGCTCCACAATTCAAAAAGGACGTGGAGAAGCTTGAGAGAGTGCAGAGAAGAGCCACACGCATGATCAGAGGTCAGGAAAACGAACCTTACGAAGACAGGGACTCCCCAGCCTGGAAAAGCACAGGCTCAGGGGTGATTTGGTGATTTGGTGGCTGCCTATAAGATTATCAGGGGTGCTCACCAGGATATGGGAGAACGTTTGTTCACCAAAGCACCCCAAGGGAGGATGAGTCAAATGGTCACAAACTCCTTCATGATCATTTTAGGCTAGACATAAGGAAGAACTTCTTTTTTACTGTCTGACCCCTCAAGGTTTGGTATAGACTACCGTCAGAGGTGGTTCAAGCACCTACTTTCAACAGATCCTCAAAAGTATTCTGACAACTACCTCATAAAAGATTTCTTACTGCCTAAATATGGGGTTAATTACCTAAATTCTTTTGAGGTGCTAGGCCAAGACTACTGGATGAAGCAGTGATTAGTCATCCTTTCCAGCATTTTTCATGTTACATGCTAATTAGCAGATTAAACACATTTGGAAGCATGTGTGAACATTAGCTCAGCTGAGTGATCTATGATGACTCAAGTTCTCTCACCCTTTCTCCAATCTCTGTTTGATCTCCATTTGGTAATTGCTCCAAATCTGGTAGTAAAGCACAGGCTTCCAAAACCTTCTCATAATCTGGCTTGTTTAGACCTGAGCCAAAGAGAATATTTTCCTGTAAAATAGAATTCTGAATCCAAGCTTGTTGGGAAACGTAGGCCACCGAGCCCTAAAAAAGACAGAAAGAAAAGAAAAATAAATATGCTTTCACTTGAACAGGGCTTCAAGGGGAAGGACAGAATTTTAAAGACATCTGTTGTTCAAACATTACCTCAAAGTAACGGTTCCAAAGTATCAGCTTTATCAAACTGTGTTATCATTCTAAGAAGTCAGTTATTACAGACCAGACTGCCTAAAAGATTCATTTTTAGAAGACACCTACACACTGATTGGTATGCCCAGTTATGTCACCTCTACCTGGATTGACTTTTAAAACCTACTTTTGAGTAGTATCACTGAGGGTAATGTTTATACAGTGCCATATAAAATATGCTATGTCCATTTCCATGCGCTAGCTCCAAGACTGTAGCTGCCTTAGTGGGGTGCTGCCTTTTAAGCAGAGACTATTTGTTCATGCATGCAATACAATACTATGGTTGATGCACGGCTGGATGGGGACACAGGATGTTTCAGCATGATGGTTATCAATGGGCACGTCTACACAAGATGCTGTCACCATAGCAACACGCTACAGTGACACAGTGTTGGTGGGCACAAACTGTGATGCTGCAACTACGTCACTGTAGCAACATGCTCCCTTGCTATAGGCATTACTACAGCAACATAGTAGCTAAAAAGAACCGTGTGCTGCTGGCACGACAGTATAGGCTGTTACTGCACCATCACTTAGTACTTCCAAAAGGAAGTATTAAATAACAGCACAGGAACAGCAGCACCATAGGGGCACATATAGACGTGCCCAGTGTGACACAAGGCAACTTTTTCAGTCCTAAGATCTGCCTCAGGACACAAACATACCAAAAACTGGGACCATATTTTGGATGTGACAACCCCACTCTCCAACCATGATCCAATTTAGTTTGCATTTTTTAATGTAAAACTCATTTTAATAGGTTACTCAAGCTGTAATAATAGAGTGTAGTGCTTCTTTCCATATGCTATTGTGGCTAATTATTTTGGGCTTTCACATATTGTTATTAAGCTAACTGGATGAAAACACCAATTGACGATTAGAACTATACCTGACTAAATGATTACAATACAGCTACTTTTTGCTTAACGTCATAGTTACGTTCTCGAAAAATGCAACTTTAAGCAAAATGATGTTAAGCAAATCCAGTTACATCACGGTAGTTACTTACTAGTAGGCGGTGGCCAAACAACGTTATAACTGAACATTGCGTGACTTTAAACAAGTATGTTCTCTACTAGATCAGCGATGTAATAACAAAACAACATTAGCCAGGACAACGTTAAAAGAGGAGTACCTATAGTCCCTTGGGGCATTAATCTAGGAATCTACTAATTTTACTAGGAACTAGTAGAATCCTTGCAACATTATCTGCCACCCTATGAGCTGATACTAGCTCCTGAGCAGTAGTTTTTGTTTAGCTCCCCTTCCCAAACCTACACTGTTTCCCTCCTTTTAAAGGGGTGTTGTTAGATGTTAAATGCTCTTACGACAGGAGTGTTCATGCACTAAGATGGGAAAAGATGAGCTAAGTGCCCTCTAAGCACCTCAAAGTTATGCCTCTTCAAGAGAAGATCATCTGCAGCTGGTGTTAAGCAGCTTGTGTTGCAGCAGTCAGTCTGCTACACGGGGTGAATACAATCTGAGGTCTGGTATCCCAGGATGCACTACTCCCAGTTCTTCCCCTGTCCTCCCCCAACAAAGCAGATGACTTAGATTCATCATCCAGAACTCTACTGCCCCAAACAGACAGAGCAGGGACAACCATGGGTAAGTGGGGAGATGGGGGGAGAAGGGGGTGGGGAGGATAGGGGAGGTGCCAGGTAAGTGGGGGCTGCCAGGGAGCTGTGGGGGAGGTGTTGGTGAACAGGGAGCCACTACAGAGCCTTAGAGCTGAG